ATTGTGTGCTCTCATCTTTTGTTATTGTGGTTTATAGCATCTTTTGCAGTTGGTTGTGGTTATAAAAAATTGTTTATATGAGCAGAATTTTTTTGCGCAGAATTATACGAGCAGAATTTTTTTGATCTGTTATTGTGTGCTCTCATCTTTTGTTATTGTGGTTTACAGCATTTTTTGCAGTTGTTTGTGGTTATAAGAATTGTTTATATGAGCAGAATTTTTTTGTGCAGAGTTATATGAGCAGAATTTTTTTGATGATCTGTTATTGTGTGCTCTCATCTTTTGTTATTGTGGTTTACAGCATCTTTTGCAGCTGGATTCCCAACTTTTGTGTTTGTGTGCTCTCATCCAATACTTCTCTCTATTTCTCTGTTTGTGTGCTTTCATCCAACCACATCATCGCTGTACTGCTGTTCAATCAACAGGACCACCAGGTTTCTCTCCCTTTCTCCCTTTGAGTATTGAGTATGAACATGTTCTCTTCAGCAATAGCTATGTTTACATAAATGTTTGCATGTTAATGTTCAAGTTCGCCGACTTCTTTCAAGTACATTTTCATGATATTTTGATTTGCATGTTAGGGTTCGCTGACTTCTTTCAGGTATGATTCTTTGTTCAATTTTATGATTTTGGGGTTGGAATTGGATTGTTTTACTATGAAGTTTTTGAGTGGAGTAGTTGGCAAAATTGAGGGTTTTTTAGTGGAATCAATGCTCTGTTTAAATAAACAACTTTTTAAAGTTTATTTGGGTTACTAATAAATTGGTGTAAGTTTCATTTCTCCATTTAGGAATTTTTTTCCTTCCCATGAATTCACTCCATACTCTTTGAAAAGAAAAAAAAAAAATTTTTTTTTTTGATTGATTTTTATTCGTTTTGGACCGTAACTTTAGAGAAGCAACTCATCAAGTAAAATTGGAAGCTAGAAGCTATCTCCTATGATCAAGCATTCCTTATTCTCACCTTCACTGTATATAGACAGGGTTTTAGACTAGCGTATGTTGGTTGTTGATATATATATAGACTAGCGTATGCCCGTGAGTGAAGGCACCGTGTAAATAATGTTAGGATTAGAATATAATTGTAATCATAATACTATTTAAATTTATTTTTTAATTTGATAAATTCACAAATTTATTATAAAATTTTGGAGTTCTCACAAAACTCCGCACGAAAATTCGCTTTTGCTTATATAATATATAGCTAGATAGATGTTTATGAGCTTGTTTCATGGTGGGTCGCCAAAGCTCAACAATGGTTGTTTGCCTATGCCATTTTCTTGGTATAGTATAATAGTATAATGATTAATAGTATAATAAAAAAATAATAGTATAATGATTAATAGTATAATGATGTTGGTTGGTTCTGTTTTTGATTAAATAGTATAATGATGTTTAATAGTGTTGCTTTTGATTGCAGTGGTTCCTGTTGTAATATTTTTTTTATATAATATATAGCTAGATAGATGTTTATGGGCTTGTTTCATGGTGGGTCACCAAAGCTCAACATTGGTTGTTTGCCTATGCCATTTTCTTGGTATAGAAATAGGGATTTTTAAAAAATAAAATAATAGTATAATGATTAATAGTATAATGATGTTGGTTGGTTTTGTTTTTGATTAAATAGTATAATGATGTTTAATAGTGTTGCTTTTGATTGCAGTGGTTCCTGTTGTAATATTTTTTTTTCATTTAAATTTCTTTCGATTAAAGGCATTGCAGTTTGGTTTCATATTTTTCTTATGGGTGGATTTGAATAGTTTGAGCTATTTGATTGTTTTATTTATTTATTTATTTTTTGCAGCTGTTGTTCTCAGGGAAGAGGTCGCAGTCCACCTGATGAATTTAGATTAAGTTTTGGAACTAAAATTTGGCAATATTATATGTTATGTTATGTGATGTTGTGTGTGTGTGTGTGTGTCTTTGCCCAGGAATCTGTTATGTTATGTGATGTTGTGTGTGAGCGTGTGTCTTTGACAGTATGTGATGATTTCGATGGCTTCTATTGGGAATCAATATATATATATATATTTTAAATCTAAATTTTGTTTTCTTTTGTTTTGTTCTGGCAATGGATTGGCTGCTTCCCATGAGCAAATTAAATGGATTCAAAAGGTTGGTTTCATAGTTTGCTTATGGGTGGATTTCAATAGTTTGAGCTATTTGATTGTTTTATTTATTTATTTTGCAGCTGTTGTTCTTAGCATTTCAGTGCACCATGTTAACCCATTAAAAGTATCCTAATTCTTTAATAGGATGCTTGGCTTCCATTGAGAATTAAATTGTTCAATCTGTTTTTAGTTTACAAATTTTTTTAAAATTTAATATTGTTATTTGTAAGTTACTGAAATAAATTTACTCATTTCTAATATTGTTAAATTTACTCATTTCTTATAGTAGGTTTGTTTATGTAGTGTTGATTAATTTTTTTTTTCCCTTCAATTTCTTTATGGATAACTGAAAAAGGAGTGCAGAGAAGTTGGGCATAATTGTTTGTGTTTCTTTATGGTTTTGATTTCATTTATATGAATATGAAATAGGTCAATGAAATGAGTTTCTATGAATGGGTGACTTCTATTTGTTTTTCAGCTTTAAGATGAGATAGGCCTTTTTTTATGAATGGATCTTTCATGTTTGAAAATTGTCACTCAGTATGGAAGGTTGAAACAGTGATTGTGCTTAATTGTTATTTACTACCTTCAACTTGGTTTGCTTCTTCATATGTTCGTAGAAATGATTTTTCATGCTTTTTGGCACTCACATTTGTGGATTGAAATGTCACATTTGTTTGGTTACTAATTGATAGTTGTAAAGAGCATGCATTGAAAAAAAAGAGGAAAAGATTACACTGACCAATTCGATTGTAAAATCTGTAAGAATATATGGAAACCATTATCTATAGTTGTAATGTTTTGTTATATGCATATTTCTCAATTTTCAAAAATCGTAAAATTAAAAGTTTTAAATTAATATTTTGGAGATATCTCAAATTTTCCTTTTAAATTTTTTAGAGAGAATAGATTTAGGAAAATCAAGAAAGGAATTTTTTATTTTTTATTTTAAAAATCAAAACTAATGAGATAATTAATATATTTTTTTTTATAATTATTGGTTTAATGGGTTAGTCCGTAGCTTTTTTAAAAAACTAATTTTTAATTCAAAAATTTAGATATTTAGTTAAAAATATTGGAGTACCCAAATGATCACTTTTAGTTAATATATAGTATAGATATTCACTTTTTGTTTTACCAATAATAATTTCATTTTTTCTATAAAAAAAATAAAAAGGTTACCCAATCGGTTGTAAAATCTGTGGGAATATGTCAATAGTTGTAAATGAAATATACAGGGTTAAAATCAACATAAAAAATAGTAGGAAATATTTTTAAAAACTAAGGTTACATATGGAATTAGATTTATTATGGAAGGCAAATCTAGTCAACACCTTCCAAGGCACTTTATATGGCATAAGATCAATCAGTGAACTTTTTACTATTTTTTTTAATTTTATTTTGAAGTAGTAAAAATCAATATTTACTATATAGAAAAATTAGTAGAACATCACTCTCTAATTTCTGGTAGTAAGAGGGATCCAATATGATTTTTCTTATCAGTTAAGATTCCTCAATAATATTATTATAGAAATTTCGGTTATGTTTGGAAGGATTTTCAAACTATAATTCTACCCACACATTCTAATATCATGTTTGGATAGGGGTTTCAAATTATATTTCCACAACAAACAGAAAACTCTTTATCAGGCGCGATTTTCAAAAAAAAAAAATTTGAAATTTGGCCTAACCGGTCATCCGGCCGATTGACCAGAACCGTGCAAATTATTTTATTTTTTTTATATTTTTTTGCAATTGACACGTGTTAATTTTTATATATTCAAAAAAATATATTTTCCGAATTTAAAAAAAAATTGTGAGCTTTAATAGAATTTTGAGTTGTGTGTTTGGTTATGAGTTGTAAGTTTTTGTATCAAATATTGTATGTCACATCAAAAATTCCCCACTCAATTCAAAACTCTTTTCAAAACTCATTCACCAAATAAATTTTTCACACTCAAATCATAATTCCAAAACTCACAAACTCAAAATACAACTCCTATTCTCAAATCATATTTAGAAAACTCTACCAAACGCTACCTTCAGTTTATCACAGAGAAATTTCACAAATTTGTGATTTGTAAGATCACTTATATAAGTTTATAAAAATTTACGTTATTTTTTGTAAGGCTGCATACGGTGTTATGGCGTATATTTGTATATACAATTTGTGCTTGTAGTATTATATTAATCATTGTTTGAGATTGATATTTTTAATAACTTTTTAATTTTCTTTAGAAGCTAAAAAATTATTGCCATATTTGAAAAGTTGCTAAAAAAAATTATTGGTGAATATTTGACTGTTTTAGGAAATTGGCAATCGGAACTTTCTTACTCTTTTTTCACCCAAACACCCACTCAATCCCTATATATATTGCTTGGAGCCAAGTGTCTCTCCAAAACCCTCTCTGCTCTCTCTCTCTCTCTCTCTCTCCCACTTCTGCCCAAACACCTGTGTTCAACTCCCTCTCTACACGTTCTCTCTCAGTGGATTTGAGGTTTTGATTTTCGCCCTAGTGACAGGGATTTTCTTCGCAAGGTTCGACTTCCTTTCTCTTTCGTAGATCAGTTTAGTGTGTGCCAACACCAATAAATAGAATCTATTTATTACTTCTTTTAATTAATTTCTTGATTGCATTCCAGTAGACCAATTTTTATTTTTACAAAATTCTACTGCACCGCCGCTGCTCATCATCATCGTCAGTCTACTGCTACCATTGAAGAGGAAGATCAACAAAGAGCAAAAACCCAATTCAGCATCGACAGCAAGGTGCGATTTCTGCCTCTCAATGTGTTCATACACTCAATGTGTGTCGGTACCCAATTTCTTGCTCACTGTAGTAGTGTTGTTGAGTAAAATTTGTGACTATTCTTAACCAATCTGATTGCATAGGTAATTTCCTGACTGCTAAATTACCCAGATAAAATTTCCTGACTGCTAATCTTTGTGCTCGGTACTCTATTGCAATTATCAAGATCCAAACATAGCATAAGAAAAGCCTAATTGCCCGGTACCTTTGCAATTATCATCATTGACTGTTTTGAGGAAGATGGTTGTGGTTTACAGCATCTTCGGTGTACTCTCCTCTGTTATTGTGTGCTCTCATCTTTTGTTATTGTGGTTTACAGCATCTTTTGCAGTTGGTTGTGGTTATAAAAATAGTTTATATGAGCAGAATTTTTTTGCGCAGAATCATATGAGCAAAATTTTGTTGATGATCTGTTATTGTGTGCTCTCATCTTTTGTTATTGTGGTTTACAGCATCTTTTGCAGTTGGTTGTGGTTATAAAAAATTGTTTATATGAGCAGAATTTTTTTGATGATATGTTACTGTGTGCTCTCATCTTTTGTTATTGTGGTTACAGCATCTTTTGCAGTTGGCTGTGGTTATATAAACCGTTTATATGAGCAGAATTTTTTTGATGATCTGTTATTGTGTGTTCTCATCTTTTGTTATTGTGGTTTATAGCATCTTTTGCAGTTGGATTCCCAACTTTTGTGTTTGTGTGCTCTCATCCAATACTTCTCTCCATTTTTCTGTTTGTGTGCTCTCATCCAACCACATCATCGCTGTACCGCTGTTCAATCAACACAACCACCAGGTTTCTCTCCCTTTCTCACTTTGAGTATTGAGTATGAACACGTTCTCTTCAGCAATAGCTATGTTTACATAAATGTTTGCATGTTAATGTTCAAGTTCGCTGACTTCTTTCAAGTACATTTTCATGATATTTTGATTTGCATGTTATGGTTCGCTGAATTCTTTCAGATATGATTCTTTGTTCAATTTCATGATTTTGGGGTTGGAATTGGATTGTTTTACTATGAAGTTTTTGAGTGGGGTTGTTGGCAAAATTAAGGGTTTTTTAGTGGAATCAATGCTCTGTTTAAATAAACAACTTTTTTAAGTTTATTTGAGTTACTAATAAATTGGTGTAAGTTTCATGTCTTCATTTAGGAATTTTTTTTCCTTCCTGTGAATTCACTCCATACTCTTTAAAAAGAAAAAAAAAATGATTGATTTTTATTCATTTTGGACCATTACTTTAGAGAAGCAACTCATCAAGTAAAATTGGAAGCTTGGAAGCTATCTCCTATGATCAAGCATTCCTTATTCTCACCTTCACTGTATATAGACAGGCATTTCAGACTAGCGTATGTTGGTTGTTGATTTATATATAGACTAGCGTATGCATGTGCCTGAATGCACGGTGTAAATAATGTTAGGATTAGAATATAATTGTAATCCCAACACTATTTTTTTAATTTGATAAATTCACAAATTTATTATAAAATTTTGGAGTTCTCACAAAACTCCTCACGAAAACTCGTTTTTGCTTATATAATATATAGCTAGATAGATGCTTCTGAGTTTGTTTCAGGGTGGGTCACCAAAGCTAAATAATGATTGTTTGCCTATGTCATTTTCTTGGTGTAGAAACAGGGATTTTTAAAAAGTAAAATAATAGTATAATGATTAATAGTATAATGATGTTGGTTGGTTTTATTTTTGATTAAATAGTATAATGATGTTTAATAGTGTTGCTTTTGATTGCAGTGGTTCCTGTTATAATATTTTTTTTTCATTTAAATTTCTTTCGATTAAAGGCATTGCAGTTTGGTTTCATATTTTTCTTGTGGGTGGATTTGAATAGTTTGAGCTATTTGATTGTTTTATTTATTTACTTATTTATTTTTTATTTTTTTTTGCAGCTGCTGTTCTCGGGGAAGAGGTCGTAGTCCACCTGATAAATTTAGATTCAGTTTTGGAACTAAAATTTGACTATTATATGTTATGTTGTGTTATGTTATATTATGTGATGTGTGTGTGTGTGTCTTTGCCTAGGAATCTGTTATGTTATGTGATGTTGTGTGTGAGTGTGTGTCTTTGATAGTATGTGATGGTTTCGATGGCTTCTACTGGGAATCAATTTTTTTTTTTTAATCTAAATTTTGTTTTTTTTTGGTAGTGGCAATGGGTTGGCTGCTTCCCATGAGCAAATTAAATGGATTCAAAAGGTTGGTTTCATAGTTTGCTTGTGGGTGGATTTCAATAGTTTGAGCTATTTGATTGTTTTATTTATTTATTTTGCAGCTGTTGTTCTTAGCATTTCAGTGCACCATGTTAACCCATTAAAAGTATCCTAATTCTTTAATAGGATGCTTGGCTTCCATTGAGAATTAAATTGTTCAATCTGTTTTTAGTTTGCGAAATTTTTTTAATTTTAATTTTGGTATTTGTAAGTTACTGAAATAAATTTACTCATTTCTTATAACAGGTTTGTTTATAAAGTGTTGATTGAATTTTTTTTCCTTCAATTTCTTTATGAATAACTGAAAGAGGAGTGCAGAGAAGTTGGGCATAATTGCTTGTGTTTCTTTATGGTTTTGATTTCATTTATATGAATGTGAAATAGGTTACTATGAGATGGCATAAGTCTTTTTCAATGAAATGAGTTTCTATGAATAGGTGACTTCTATTTGTTTTTCTGCTCTAAGATGAGATAGGTCTTTTTCTATGAATGGATCTTTCATGTTCAAAAATTGTCACTCAATATGGAAGGCTGAAACAGTGATTGTGCTTAATTGCTATTTATTACCTTCAGCTTGGTTTGCTTCTTCATATGTTCATAGAAATGATTTTTCATGCTTTTTGGCACTCACATTTGTGGATTGAAACGTCACATTTGTTTGGTTACTAATTGATAGTTGTAAAGAGGATGCATTTGTCTATTCTCTCTCAAATTGGCCCCTCTATGAAACAGGTATAGTCAAATTGGTGAATCAAACAGTGGGAGTTTTATCTTATTTTTAATAACAAACAATGGGCAATTTTTAGGGGGTTGATTTTGGATAATGGAGCTTTCTTACTTATATTTTCTATTCTTCCTTTTGTTTCAGGTACATATGCATTGGCTTGAAGTAGTGTTTGATTAGCTCATAAAAAGTTGTTGCGATTTTGTTTGCTGCAATGGTTGATTAGGTAATTGGTCTCCCTTCCATTAATGGATTTGTCAATAATTTGTTGCTTATCTATTGTTTCATTTTACATGCTGTGAAAATTAAGAATCTGTTTTGATGGCTACTGTGATTGCTCTAGACAGAAAGAGTACTATTCTGTTGCGTAGAATTGAACACAACTCTCAAAAAAAATGTGCCCCACACATTACGAGATTTACCTATGTTTTGGATTCCATAATGGTTTCTTTGCAAACTCCGCACGCACACATACATATTATATATTATAGTATACTGAGAGAAGACTTCCCTCAAGACTCCAACATCGTCCACTTTGTGAGTCCCATGGGCTTACGACAATAATCTAAATCGTTCATCTGTCGGTCCTCGAAAATATATGTATATATATAACAAAAAAAATTAGTTGATTGAAACATTGATAAGCACTAATTAAATCATATTTTATTTTATAAAATGAGTGGTAAATATAATTTTAAAACACAATGTCCATTTTATGAAACAAACTATCATATGTTTGTATGCCTAATTAGTGACTACTGGACCATCCAGCGCCACCTTAGATGTCCTGTAAGAAGTATCAATTAAAATGTGAACCAAATTACCCATCTTGAATGGTGAGGGATCATTAGCAGCCAAAAGCACTTTAAGGCATGCCATGCCACCACATCACAACCGATCTCCCATTCACTTTCACCTATCAGAATTACAATATAGCTTGCAAATGACTTCTTCCTATCAACTCTGCTAGTGTATTTTCATTAAATTTTTCTTTTTCTTTCTCTTTTCTCTCTAAACAGTCAGTGTGGAAGCTGTTATAGAATGTTAGAATTTGTCTAAAATACAGACTATCTTCTTCTAACAAAAACCACCTATTCCCACTATATCCATCATGGGTACACTAATTCTTGGTTACTTTTTCCCTTTCTTCTTCTTCCCTTCCGCTCATAGACTCAAGCATCCACGTCAGTTCCTGCGTTCTAACGTGTTTGGAGATATCAACTGTTGATGTAGGAAACAACACACATTGAAGATGGTAATGAAGGCAAATTTTTACCCTTATGGCGTCGACTACACATTCAATCCACCGACCACGTTTTACCAACGATTAATGACCGCTGATCTCATGGTAACTACTATTTCAAGTTTCTTTGAGTTTGGGGGGTTCGAGTTTTGTTTTTGCATATGAAGGTTGTGTATTGGTGTCTTTAGTCGAAACAAAATCTCAAGAAACTTGAAATAGTAAGTTACCCATGAATCAGCGACAGTTAATCCGTTTGTAAACGGCCCGTGGATGATTGTTGTAGTCGACGCATAAGGGTAAAAGTTTGCCTTCATACGCATCTTCCAATGTTGTTGTTTGTTTCCTACATCAACAGTTGAATCCCAAACACGTAGAACGCAAGGAACTGACCGTGGATGCTTGAGTCAAGCGGAAGGAAGAAGAAGAAGGAAAGTAACACAAGAATTAGTGTAGCCGCATGATGAAATATAGTGGGGAATAGGTGGTTTTTGTTAGAAGAGATATACTGTAATTTATAGACAAATTCCTAACATTCTATACCAGCTCCAGACTGACTGTTTAGAAGAGAAAAGAAGAAGAAAAAGAAAAAAATTTAATGAAAATACACAGGCAAGAGTTGAATAGGAAGAAGTCATTTGCCACAGTACTATTTGTAATTCTGATAGGTGAAAGTGAATGGGAGATCGGTTTGTGATGTGGTTGGCACTGCATGCCTTAAAGTGCTTTGCTGCTAATTGATACCCTCACCCATCAGATGGGTAATTTGGTTCACATTTTATTGATACTCTTTAACAGCATCAAGGCGTGGCAGCTGACGGTCCACAGTCACAAATTAGGCATTACAAACATATGATAGTTTGTTTCATAAATGGAACATTGTAGTTTAAAATTTATATTTACCCTCATTTTATAAAATAAAATATGATTAATTAGTGTCTATCATGTTCAATCAAACTAATTTTTTTTGTATATATATACATATATTTTCGAGACCGGACAAGATGAACGATTTAGAATTATTGTCGTAAGCCCATGACTCACAAAGTGGAACGATGTGGAGTCTTGAGGGAAGCTTCTCTCAGTATAATATATATATAATACTAATGTATGTGTGCGTGCGAGTTGCAAAGAACCATTAATGGAATCAAAACATAGAGTAAATCTCGTAATGTGTGGGGCACAATTTTTTTTTGAGAGTTGTGTTTCAATTCTACGCAAAGAATAGTAACTCTTTCTTCTAGAGCAATCAACAGTAGCCCCATCCAACAGATTCTAATTTTTCACAGCATGTTAACAATGAAACAATAGATAAGCAACAAATTATAAAATCATTAATGGAAGGAGACCAAATTTACCTAATCACCATTGCAGCAAACAAAATCGCAAACAACTTTTTATGAGCTATTCAAACACTACTTCAAGCAATGCATATGTACCTGAAACAAAAGGAAGAATAGAAAATATAAGTAAGAAAGCTCCATTATCCAAAATCCCAACCCCCTAAAAATTCCCATTGTTTCGTTTTAAAAATAAAGAAAAACTCCACTTGTTTGATTCACCAATTTTGACTATACCTGTTTCATAGAGGGGCCAATTTGAGAGAGAATAGACAAAGCATCCTCTTTACAACTATCAATTCAGTAAACCAAACAAATGTGACGTTTCAATCCACAGAGATGGTGGGTGCCAAAACAGCATGGAAAAATCATTTCTATGAACATATGAAGAAGCAACCAAGCTGAAGGTAATAATAGCAATTAACACAAATCACATGTTTCGAGCCTTCCATATTGAGTGACAATTTTTGAAACATAAAGATCCATTCATAGAAAACAAGACCTATCTCATCTTAGAGGGCAGAAAAAAAATAGAAGTCACCTTAATTCATAGAAACTCATTTCATTGAAAAGACTTATGCCATCTCATAGTAAGCCTATTTCACATTCATATAACTTGAAATCAAAACCATAAGAACACAAGCAATTATGCCCAACTTCTCTGCACTCCTCTTTCAGTTATTCATAAAGAAATTGAGGAAAAAAAATTACAATCAACACTTATAAACAAACTGTTATACAGAAATGAGTAATTTATTTCAGTAAACTTACAAATACCCAAATTATATAAAAAAATTTCGCAAACTAAAAACAGATTGAACAATTTAATTGCTCAATTGGAAGCGCAGAGCCATCGCAGGGTTAAAAAATTAAGGATACTTTTAATGGGTTACAATGGTGCACTGAAATGCTAAGACAACAGCTGCAAAATAAATTAAATAAAAACATCAAATAGCTCAAACCTATTGAAATCCACCCACAAGCAACTATATGAAACCAACCTTTTTGATCCATTTAATTTGCTCATGGGAAGCAGCCCAACCATTGCCACTACCAAAAAAAACAAAATTTAGATTTAAAAAAAAAAATTGATTCCCAGTGAAGCCATCGAAACCATCACATACTATCAAAGACACACACTCACACACAACATCACAATAAACATAACAGATCTAGGCAAAGACACACACAACAATCAATAATATACACATAACACCAACATAACATATAAGTCAAATTTTAGTTGCCAAAACTGTAATCTAAATATTATCCCAAGGTGGACTACAGACCTCTTCCCGAGAAACAGCAGCTGCAAAAAAAAATAAAAAATAATAAGTAAATAAATTAAAACAATCAATATAGCCTCAAACTATCTAAATCCACCCAACAGAAAATACATGAAACCAAACTGTCAATGCCTTTAATCGAAAGAAATTTAAATTGAAAAAAAAATATTATAAACAGGAACCACTTGCCAATCAAAGCAACACTATTCAAACATCATTATACTATTTTAAATCAAAAATAAAACCACCAACATCATTATACTATTAATCATGTATACTATTATTTATCTTTTTAAAAATCCCCTGTTTCTACACCAGAAAATGACATAGGCAAACAATCAATTATTTAGCTTTGGTGACCACCCCTGAAACAAACTCAGAAGCATCTATCTAGCCTATATATTATATAAGCAAAACGAGTTTTCGTGAGGATTTTGTGAGAACTCCAAAATTTTATAATAAATTGTGAATTATCAAATTAAAAAATAGTGTTGGGATATACAATTATATTAAATCCTAAACATTATTTACACCGTGAATTCAGGCACATGCATACGCTAGTCTATATATAAATCACAACCAACATACGCTGTAGTCTGAAAATGCCTGTTCCTATATACAGTGAAGGTGAATAAGGAATCTGTCATGAGAGTAGCTTCCAAGCTCCACCCACTATTATTACGATGAGTTTGCTACTCTAAAGTAATGGCGTCCAAAATGAATAAAATCAATTCATTTTTTTTTTCTTTTTAAAGAGTATGGAGTGAATTCACAGGAAGAAAAAAAATTCCTAAATGAGAGACATGAAACTTACACGAATTCTATTGAGTAACTCAATAACTAAAAAGTTGTTTATTTAACTACAGCAGATTGATTCCACTGAAAAAAACCCTTAATTTTGCAACAACCACTCAAAAAACTTCATAAGTAAACATCCAATTCCAGACCCGAAATCATGAAATTGAAAGAAAGACATCATATCTGAAAGAATTCAGCGAACCATAAACATGCCAAATCAAAAATCATGAAAATGTCTTGGAAAAGAAGTCGCGTAACTTGAAACATTAACCATGCAAACAT